GTTTAGTGGCATGGCAACCTGCCCCTTGCAATCCAAGAACTGCTCTGAGATGTCTATTTTAGTTTTGGGGTTTTTTTTAAAGATAAGTGGGTTTGGATGAGTGGAGGAGCAGCTTGTGGTTCCTACTGGTGGGAGTTAAAGCAAAATTTTGGGATACTGCTTGGAATTCAGCAATGGATAGGGGTTTGGTCTTAAAAAAAGCACTTTGTGCTCTCTTTGGTGAGAAAGTTTCACCAGAAATGCTCCAGGGTGCAAAATGGGCAGGAAGGTGTGAAATGGGATGTTCAGAATTGTTTTGGTTTTCATGGAATCCCAGAATCCCAGACTGGTTTGGGTTGGAAGGGATCTTAAAGATCATTTTGCTCCACCCCTGCCATGGCAGGGACACCTCCCACTGTCCCCAGTGTCCAACCTGGCCTTGGGCACTGCCAGGGATCCAGGGGTGGAATTCCATCCCAGCCCTGCCCACCCTGCCAGGGAACAATTCCTCATTGCCAAGATCCCACCCAGCCCTGCCCTCTGGCACTGGCAGCCATTCCCTGGGTGCTGTCCCTGCATCCCCTGGAAATTGTCTCTCTCCAGCTTTCCTGGGGCTCCTGCAGGCCCTGCAAGGCCACCCTGAGCTCAGCCCAAAGCTTCTCCTGTGCAGGTGAACAATCCCAGCTCTCCCCTTCCCTCCCTTGTTTTGGAGGCCTCTGGTCTGAAACTGAATAACCAAAAATAATAATAAACAGAAATGAGATATCCCAGCTCACACAGGAGACAAACCCTAATCCAACCACACTTTGATCACCAAGGGAAAAATGATGGTCCTGGAGCTTTGTCCCACCCCATCCCTGTTTTCCCTGCTGATAACATAACCCTGAAAAGGTGAGCCCTGAACGTTAAAATGTGATAGCAACAGACAAATGAGAGAGGCTTCAATTTGGGGTTTATCTTCCTGATACCCACTGCAAACCTCAACAATTCCATCCTCAATGGATAACGCCCATTTGGGAGGGAAAATGGAAGCAGGAGAAGAGAATATCCATGAGGAAACATCCATGGCTGAGCTACATCCACAGGTGAAACCCATGAAATCCTGTTTGAAACAGCAAAGCCCAACCACCTCCTACAGCTATTCCCAGAGGGAGCAGCTGGATCCAGGCCCTGCATGAAAAACCCACTGGGAATTCCACAGGGAAGCAGGGAAAAGGGATCCTGGGTGTTAAACCTGATACTCTGCCAGGCAGAAAGTGCTCCCAAGAAGCTGAAGAATGTGCAAGGCTGCCACCTCCACCCACGTCTGCTCTGCCGAGCAGCCACAATAAAATTTGGGGTTTTTAATAGGAACAGAGCCATGAGCTGGAGAAACCCAGCGTGGTTTGCTCTGCAAATCAGGGAGAGAAGTGAGGGGGATGTGAGGGGTTGGATCCTTCACCTGAGCTGACCTGGAATTGCTCCAGCCAGGGGAAGGAGCTGGGTGGTGCTTCCAGTTTCTTTTTGCTTTGTAGAGCATGTGATCTTTGGTTGATTTTTAGTAGTCAAATCATTAGGGTTTAGTATGGTTAGATTAGGGTTTTGGGGAGAAAATCTTCCCTGTGAGGAAGGCACAGTTTGCCCATAGAATTTTGTGGCTTCCCCATCCCTGGAAGCATCCAAGGCCAGCTTGGACTGGGCTTGGAGCACCCTGGGATAGTGGAAGGTGCCCCTGCCCATGGTTTGGGTTGAAACAAAATGATCTTTAAGATCCTTTCCAACCCAAACCATTCCCTGATTGTCAAAAATACCCCAAACCCATCAGATCTGCAATAATTCTACTAAGCCACAGGCCTTCCAAACCCTGGGCATAAAGGAAAGTTCCAAGAGTTGCCTGAGGTGAGTGATAATCTTTCCTACCTGTAGGAAGGAGCACCCTGCTCTCAGAAATAAATCCCAAAATAAGAACTTATCCCAATTTCCTGTAACTATTCCTCTCCAAAATCCCAGCAGAGAGCCTTAACTGAGCCCATTTCCTTCTGGTTGGAAAACAGAAGAAAACTCTGTTAGGAGCAGCACCTGCTAAAACCAACACTGTCCCACTTTTTTGGGTCCATCTCCCCATGAATCTGCATTTTGATAGTGCTCAGTGACCCGACCCTCTGCCCAAATTTCAGCAGGAATTCTAGCAGGGACAGACTCAGCTCCAGGGGATGCCAGATAAGATTCCAAGCTGCATGACTCGGTTTCATCCGAGCCTGGGAGGAAATCAGACTCCTGAGTGACCCTTTTGCAGGTTTTCATTCCAACAAAACCCCCTGGAAAACCACCAGCCACAGAAAGACCTCCAAAGCAGCCTGTCCTAGGAAAGCCTCAGCACTCAGAGGTAATTTTGGGGGCACGGAGCACTTTGCAAAGCTCTCTTTGCTGCTGCCTTCCTGGCAAAGGTCAAACCAAGGTTTTGACAGCATTTCCCTCTCTCTCCAGCACCCTCATGGACAAATGTCCATTGGGAAATACACCTGGAACAAAGCCTGGCTTTGCAAGACAAACATTGGTTCTGCAGGTGGAGGCAAACAAAACCCATGAGCTGGGCTGACACTGGGAAGACACAGAACGGGCCCTTAAAACCTGCCAGGCTTCCCAAAATCCAAACATCCATTGGGAAGCTCCTCTTTTCACTCCTTAAAGACTTTCACGTGTCAAAGATCCAAAGATCTCCAAGGAGAGCCCCAAAGAAATGGAAGCACAGTGGGGTCAGGAGCTCGTGTAGGCCACGGGGTGGGGGAGTGGAGGGTGGATTAGAATGGACATCTTAAAACATTCCCATATTCAACCATTCAGGCTTCCCAGAATTCAAACATCCATGAAAAAGCTCCTCTTTTCACTCCTTAAGTACTCTCATATGTCAAAAATCTCCAAGGAGAGCCCCAAAGAGATGGAAGCACAGTGGGGCCATGAGCCCGTGTAGGCCATGGGGTGGAGGTGGGCGAGCTGAGGGAGGAATAGAATGGACCACTTAAAACATCCCCAAATTCCCAAATTCAACCATCCAGGCTTCCCAAAATCCAAACATCCATGAAAAAGCTCCTCTTTTTACTCCTTAAAGACTCTCATGTGTCAAAGATCTCCAAGGAGAGCCCCAAAGAGATGGAACCACAGCCAGTCCGTGAGCCCCCACAGGCTGCGGGGATGGAGGTGAGCGGGGGGGAGGATTAGAATGGACCACTTAAAACATTCCCAAATTCCCAAATTCAACCATCCAGGCTTCCAAAATCCAAACATCCATTGGGAAGCTCCTTTTTCACTCCTCAAAGGCTCTCATGTGTCAAAGATCTCCAAGGAGAGCCGAGAAGAAGTGGAAGCAGAACAAGCCTGTGAGCCCCCATAGGCCATGGGTGGAGGACTAGAATGGACTCCTTAAAACCTGCCAGGCTTCCCAAAATTCAAACATCCATTGGGAAGCTCCTTTTTTCACTCCTTAAAGACTCTCATGTGACTCTCTCACGTGTGTCAAAGATCCAAAGATCTCCAAGGAGAGCCCCAAAGAGATGGAACCACAGTCGGGCCGTGAGCCCCCACAGGCTGTGGGGATGGAGGCGAGCAGGGGGAGGATTAGAATGGACTCTTAAAACATCCCCAAATTCCCAAATTCAGCCACCCAGGCTTCCCAAAATCCAAACCTCCATGAAAAAGCTCCCATTTTCACTCCTTAAAGACTCTCATGTGTCAAAGATCTCCAAGGAGAGCCCCAAAGAGATGGAACCACAGCCAGGCCGTGAGCCCCCACAGGCTGCAGGGGTGGAGGTGGGCGAGCGGGGGGAGGATTAGAATGGACCACTTAAAACATTCCCAAATTCAACCATCAGGCTTCCCAAAATCCAAGCATCCATTTGGAAGCCCCTCTTTTCACTCCTCAAAGGCTCTCACATGTCAAAGATCTCCAAGGAGAGCCGAGAAGAAGTGGAAGCAGAACAAGCCTGTAAGCCCCCATAGGCCACGGTGGAGGACTAGAATGGACTCCTTAAAACCTGCCAGGCTTCCCAAAATCCAAACATCCATTGGGAAGCTCCTTTTTTCATTCCTTAAAGACTCTCATGTGACTCTCTCACATGTGTCAAAGATCCAAAGATCTTCAAGGAGAGCCCCAAAGAGATGGAAGCACAGTGGGGCCATGAGCCTGTGTAGGCCACAGGGTGGAGGTGGGCGAGCTGAGGGAGGAGTAGAATGGACCACTTAAAACATCCCCAAATTCCCAAATTCAACCATGCAGGCTTCCCAAAATCCAAACATCCATTGGGAAACTCCTCTTTTCACTCCTCAAAGGCTCTCACATGTCAAAGTTCTCCAAGGAGAGCCGAGAAGAAGTGGAAGCAGAGCAGGGCTCCAATCCCCCTGTAAAAGGCCACGGGGTGGAGGACTAGAATGGACTCCTTAAAACTTGCCAGGCTTCCCAAAATCCAAACACCCATGAAAAAGCTCCTCTTTCCACTCCTTAAAGACTCTCATGTGCCAAAGATCCAAAGGTCTCCAAGGAGAGTCACTAAGAGATGGAAGCACAGTGGAGCCATGAGCCCGTGTAGGCTGCGGGGTGGGTGAGCAGAGGGAGGATTAGAAAGGACATCTTAAAACCTTCCCAAATTCAACCATGGAGGCTTCCAAAATCCAAACCTCCATGAAAAAGCTCCTCTTTTTACTCCTTAAAGACTCTCATGTGTCAAAGATCTCCAAGGAGAGCCCCAAAGAGATGGAACCACAGCCGGGCCGTGAGCCCCCACAGGCTGTGGGGATGGAGGTGGGCGAGCGGGGGGAGGATTAGAATGGACCACTTAAAACATTCCCAAATTCCCAAATTCAACCATCCAGGCTTCCCAAAATCCAAACCTCCCTGAAAAAGCTCCCATTTTCACTCCGTAAGGACTCTCATGTGTCAAAGATCTCCAAGGAGAGCCCCAAAGAGATGGAACCACAGCCGGGCCGTGAGCCCCCACAGGCTGCGGGGATGGAGGTGGGCGAGCGGGGGGAGGATTTTGGGTACTTACCCTGAATCTGACTCTGAGGCTGAGGGTTAAAAGCTGTGCTGTGGTTCAAGGAGGCTCGAGGGTTGGGTGTGGGGGCTGGGTGGTGTGGGCTGACCCTCATGGCCGTGCGACGCAACTGCTCCAGCTCGCTCAGGCGCTCAGAAAAGGACAAGCTGCCGGGCTTTGTCTGCTCATCTATTTTCTGACGATGTCCTAGTGTGGGAGGGGGGGGGAAAAAGATCAGAAAAGCTCACTTGGTACATGAGGACGGTTGGTTTTGGTTTATTTTAAAATTTTTTTTCCTGGTTTTTGCAACCCCTGATCTGCTGGTGAATGTCCTAATCTGGGACTGTCTGAAATGAAAGTGAAATCACCCCTAAAGCTCTGCAGTCTTATTGTGGGACAGCCTGAGAGGTGCCCAGGGCTGAAGAACCAGAGCCACCAAAAATTTCAGGGCCTTTCTACCCTTCCTGTGGTTTCTAAATGGGGGAAATGGCCCCTGTGCTAAACCTGCACTGGGATAACTCCTCAAAAATTCCATCCCAGATTGTCACCAGGCACCACAACCACACAAGTGCTACAGGGCTGAAAAATAACAAACCAAATCAAATCCTGGTTTTGGGTCCTTTTGCAATGGTTTTATGGACAGGAACAGGAAATGAACACCAGCAGAACTGGAACTGGGATAATGAGGTTTCTCTTGGTGCTCTTCCTGGGAGCTCCAGGAAGGTGAGGTCCCATCAGACACTCAGCTCAAAGGGAGGAAATGCTGAATTTTGAGCATCAGCAGGGCACAGGGGACTTGGGCATGGCCATGTGGGAATTACTGAGCTCAGCACTTCCCAAAGCAGCCCTTGGAGCACAGTCCCCATGAAGCTCCAGGGCTGGGAGGGGACAGGGAAGGTCCCAGAGAGCCAGAACAGCATTGGGACACATCTAGAATCAGCTGGAAGGACTGAGGTGACACATTTCAATTGTCCACTGTCCCAGGTGCTCCAGCCCCAGTGTCCAGCCTGGCCTTGGGCACTGCCAGGGATCCAGGGATGGAATTCCATGCCAGCCCTGCCCACCCTGCCAGGGAACAATTCCTCATTGCCAAGATCCCATCCAGCCCTGCCCTCTGGCACTGGCAGCCATTCCCTGGGTGCTGTCCCTGCATGCCCTGGAAATTGTCTCTCTCCAGCTTTCCTGGGGCTCCTCCAGTCCCTGCAAGGCCACCCTGAGCTCAGCCCAAAGCTTCTCCTGTGCAGGTGAACAATCCCAGCTGTGCCAGCCTTTTCAAAGGTCCCAGCCCCAAGGCTGCCAGAGCTCCAGGAGCCTTTGGCCAGCGCTGCCAGGGATGCCCAGGGTGGGATTGTTGGGGGTCTGGGCAGGCCAGGGGTGGCACTGGGTGTTCCCTGTGGGTCCCTTCAGCTCAGGATATTCCATGGTTCTATTCTATGATTCCACGATTTCTGCACATTGGATTTGTCACAGGACATCAGCTGCCTCATGGATCCTTGTGCCTTATCTTTTATCCTTCTTTCCATTGGACCCTGCTGTCCTGCCAGGAATGAAGCCCAAATCTCCAGCCCAGAGGTCAAACATCTTCATTTTTCTACTTGTTCCCTTGAAGAAACAGGGGAACTTGTGACAAGAAAAGGGGGAATGGCCTTAAGGCAAAGGAAGGCAGGGCTGGATGGGATCTTGGCAATGAGGAATTGTTCCCTGGCAGGGTGGGCAGGGCTGGGATGGAATTCCATTCCTGGATCCCTGGCAGTGCCCAAGGCCAGGTTGGACACTGGGGCTGGGAGCAGCCTGGGACAGTGGGAGGTGTCCCTGCCATGGCAGGGGTGGGATGAGATGATCTTTAAGGTCCCTTCCACCCCAAACCATTCTGATTATACAAAAAGTAGACATTATTTTATTTTTTTATCCACTATTCCTTATTCCACACTCTTTCCCTTAACTTTTAATCCATAAACATTCCTAAAAATCCCTCTCTCAACATTGAATATCACTGAATAAGCAACAAAAAATTCTCTGCAAAGCCCTGTAGGCCCCTTCCTCCACAGAGAACTCTTTCAAGCCACCCTGACAGCTCAATCAAGACACAGGCCCATTTTATGCACTAAAAGGAAAATGTGCATTTAAAAGCAGTTCCCAGTAGCTGCATTTCTAAAATTAAATTTTATAACTCGTCTTATGGTTCCAAATCTCAGTGGCTCGGCATTTCTTCCCCTTGCCAGGCCCTTTGGCACAGCTTGAACTGTCTCAGATTCCACACTGTGCTGTAAATTATCCCAAGGGGAGGGGGAGGAATTAAAATATAAAAAGACATATTATATAGCAGTGGTTTCATCATTAAAGAGACCCATTAGGGCTTAAAAAAAAAAATAGAAATAAAAAAGGAGGGGAGAAGCAAAGACAGATGAAAAGGACTTTTATCTGCCATTCTGGTTGGTCGAGAGCAAATGCTGCATTTGTCAGCAGAGAGAAGCTGGGAGTTCCTCAAGCCTAGGGCTCCTGACCCTGGATGTGAATGCCAACACGTGGAGTCACACAAGATGTGTAAAATACCTCATCCACAGGGATTATTTTAAGCTCCAGCAGGATCAGCCCAGGGCTGGCAGATCCAAGAGCCACATCCTTCCAAGAGCAGCCCCACGCTGGCGCTTGTTCCTGATTTCAGATCCTCCTCAGATTTCTCCTCCTTTTAAAGGAGAGCAGGAAGGCCAAGCCTGACCCCCTGTGACCTCCCCTTCCCCTGCCACCCCTCCTGACTGCAGTGCCAGGCTGCTCCAGGCTGGGGGAGGATCTCTGCCTGTCTGACAGAATCCCAAAATCCCTGAGGTTGGAAATGCAGGATCCCAGGGAGTCCCAGCTGTGCCCAGCCCAGAGCACTGAGTGCCACCTCTGCTGGGCATCTCCAGGGATGGGCATTCCAAACCTCCCTGGCCAGCCCATCTGAAGGTTTAACAACCTTTAACAACTCTTTAATGTCCAAAATTCCTCCTGATTTCCATGGTATCTTCACACCCTGCATCCACTGTGCAAAACTTGGACCTCCCCACCCCTTCCTGTGCTGCCCCAGAGCATCAATCTGATTTTTGGGGTGTTCCACAAAGGGCCTGTGTGGGCCCTTTTCCACAGCCTGGGATTCCCAGGAGTGCAGGGACACAGCCAAGATCTGTCTCATCCCTTGAATTTGTGGAAATTCCATTTGGGAGAAAGAGCAGCACCAACAAGGTCTTCCTCAGAAGAACTCTGCTGCCTTTATGGCTCCATTTTCATTTGGAGTGGGAAACACTCAGAATCAAGGCCAGGCAATTGTCACCTCAAGATGCAGCTCCAAAAGTGCCTCTTTGCCCTCCTTGTCCCCAGCCAGAAAAAAAATCTATTTATTATTCCTCCTCCTCTAACTGCACAGAACCTGTTTGGCACCAGAGCTCTGCAGGAGAGAAGTGAAGAAGTGTGTCAGAAAAAAAGGAACAAATATAAATATTTCTCCCAAGCCACTCTCAAAGCACAGGCAGCCCTTTGTGAGGGTGACCTGCATTTTGGTGTTTATTAGCTGTGCTTTGAAGTTCCCCTCTAAACACCTTGCTGGGGCAGACAAAATATCCTCAGCTCACCCACGGGACAGGCAGCACTGTCATTAACCCTTTCTGCAGGTGGAAAATGGAATGCCAGAGCAATGAGGTGCCCTGCCCAGGGCCAGGAGGTGACCCTGGGACAGCCACTCTGCTGCCAGCCCCGTGAGGTGACCACAAGCCCAGAGCTCCCTTTGCCAGGATGAAAAAGAGCAGCAGGAAGGGGTTTGGAACCTGCTCCCCTCCCTGTTCCAGGATGAAAAAGAGCAGCAGGAAGGGGTTTGGAACCTGCTCCCCTCCCTTTTCCAGGATGAAGAAGAGCAGCAGGAAGGTGTCTGGAAGCTGCTTTGGCTCTGCTGAAGCACTTTGGCCACAAATCTTGATGAAAATCACTCCAACTTCCAGCTGTTGAAGGAAAACCTTGGCACAGAGCTCACACAAGGAGGAACAACTGCCTTCTTCCCCTCCTCGTGTCCCCAGGGATTTCTCACAAGAATCAAGAAAGAGAGAAATTCTTATTACTCTTTCTTTTAGTTCCTGTTAATAAATTCCTCTTTATACCCATTTGAAGTTTTAAATCTGCCTTACCTTTCTCCTAATCCTACCTCACAACAAATAATAAATGCATTAGGAATTAACCAGCACCAAAGCCACCACACTCTTTAATACATTATCTGAGAAATCTCAGAATCAGTAAAATCTCCAATGAACAAACCAAAACCAAAACTCTTTCTCTTTAAGAGAAAAGAAAAATGAACATTTTCCCCCCTCAGCTTGCAGGGGAATCAATTAACAGAGAAAAGGATCAATTAACAGAGAAAAGAAAATGAACATTTTCCCCCTCAGCTTGCAGGGTCAGTGTTTGGGATGCTGCAATAAACAGGACATGCAGCCAACTTGGCTAAACCACAGGATTTAGGGTCTTTTTCACTTTTTTTTTTTTTTTTTTTTGTTTTTAGATTATCCCTTCCAAATGCTGCCTGAGTGAGGTCAGGAGGGCTTTTTGCCATGGAATATTTTTTTGGAATATTTTTTGGGATATTACACAGGGATGGCAGGGCAAGATGAAAGTGCTTCCCCTGGGAATGGCAGGGAAATGCATTTTTACAGCCTGGGAGAGCCCTGGAACACTCAGGCCTGGCCTGGGGCCAGATATTGGCATTGGGGATGGGGAAATGACAGCAGCAAAGTGCCCTGGCAGCCCCTGCTTCCCTGGGAATGCCAGGCCAGTGGAGGCTCGGGCTGGGATGCACAAGTGCAGGAAAAGAAACAAAATTTCCTTTAAAATTTCCCTTGAAATTTTAAATTTTCCTTTTTTTTTTTTTAATTTAAAATAAATTATAGGAAAAAAAAAATTGCAGGCATCCTTAGGCTCTTTCAGGTTCAGAGAGGCAGAATAGGCCAAGGAACCTTTATTTTCCTTGGAAATTTTGAATTTTCCTTTAATTTTTTTTGCAGGAATTCTTAGATGCTTTCAGGCTGAGAGAGGCAGAACTGGGTAAAGCAGAGGAAGTAAAATGGAATTTTTTTAAAATTTTGAAATCTGGAATTTTCCTTTAATTTTGTTTGGGGGATTTTTGCAGGCATCCTTAGATGCCTTTCAGGCTAAGAGAGGCAAAATTTGGTAAAGCAGAGGCCAAG